ACGCTGCTGCTGCTGCTGCTCGCCATCGCCAGAACCTCCCTGCTGAGTAGCTCCAGCCCTACCGCCACCACTCCCACTGCCACCACTACCGCCACCACCACCGCTGCCACCGCTGCCGCCACCAAAGCCCCCACTCCCACCACCACTCCCACCACCTCCACCACCTCCACTGCCTCCACCACCTCCACTGTTGCCCCCACCACCACCCCCGCTACCACCGCCACCACCCCTGCCACCCTTGCCCTTGCTGCTGTGGCGCTTCCCACTAGTAGAAGCAGCCCCGACATCCTCAGCACCAAGGACGTCAGCAGCAGCAGTAGAGGCATAGGAGAGGGCAAGGGGGGAGGGGGAACACCCCTCAAAGAAGGGGGTGCGAGGAGTGCCACGAGCGGCACCTACAGCGAGTACACTAGTCTCAGCTGCAAGGAGGTGCTGCTCGAGTAGGTGAACAGTGAGGGCTGTGAGGTCAAGTGCGAGAAAGTGGTCCTTGACAGCGCGAAGCGAGTCAGGGAGGCGGGTGACTATAAAGTAGAGAGTGATGTACATCGGGGGCGGGTTCTTGTCAAGGAACTCTGCTAGGAGGGCAGCGCGGTAGCGAGTGTCACTAGTGCGAAGGTGGGAAACTAGGTCCTCCACTGTGGCAAAGGCGGACACCTCAGGAAACAGGTAGGGCAGTAGAAGACGGCCTAGAGCAGCAGTGGCAGGCGAGGAGTAACGGGCAACTACAGCGTCGTACAGCGCCTATGCAGTCCTGTGCTGTCCGAAGTGAGCGCATTCGGCTAACGGCAGGTGGTTGCGAATGGCTAAGCGAGCAGCAGCGTCACGAGTAAGGCACAGTGAGCGAGTCGCACTGTCAGCTGTGGCGGGAGGGGCGGGAGAGGCTCCGGACGTGTGGTCAAACAACGGCACGCTGTCTCTAGAGTCCCTCAGTAGGTACAGCTGCAATTCGTCGAGCCACGTGTCAAACTAGATCGGACGGCCCTCATGATCGAACGCGAGTACGCGGACAAAAGCCATAGCAGCGCAGCACGCAGGGCGGGCAGGAGCCGGACAGCGCAAGGAATAGGGCAGGCAGCAGCAAGGGGCGGCAAGCGGGCTGCAAGTGGCGGCGCGTAGGCTGCAGGAGGGGCGGCTCGCTGGCCTAGGGGCGGCTGGCTGGCCTAGGGGCGGCAAATAGGGCAGCACGGGTGGCGCTCGGGGCCTAGGGGCGACTGGCGGGCCGAAAGGGGCTGCGAGGGGGGCTGCAGGGGCTGCGCACGGGGCCTAGGGGCGACGGGCGGGCCGTAAGGGGCGGAGTGCGGGGCTGCAAGGGCCGCGAGAGGGCCTCAAGGGGCGGCGTGCAGGGCCTAGGGTCGACGGGCGGGCTGCAAGGGGCGGCGCGCTGGGCTACAGGGGCGACAGGCGGGCCTGCAAGGGCTGGCGCGCGGTGCCTAGGTCGACGGGTGGGCCAGCAGGGGCGGGCGCGCGGGGCCTAGGTCGACGGGCGAGCCAACAGGAGTGGGCGCGCGGGGCCTAGGTCGACGGGCGGGCTAGCAGGGGCGGGCGCGCGGGGCCTAGGTCGACGGGCGGGCCATTATGGGCGGGCGCGCGGGGCCTAGGTCGACAGGCGGGCCAGCAGGGGCGGGCGCGTGGGGCCAAGGTCGACGGGTGGGCCAGCAGGGGCGAGCGCGCGGGGCCTAGGTCGACGGGCGGGCTGCAAGGGGCGGCGCGCTGGGCAGTACGGGCGATGGGCGGGCCTGTAGGGGCGGGCGCGCGGGGCCTAGGGTCGACGGGTGGCCTGCAGGGGCGGGCGCGCGGGGCCTAGGGTCGATGGGCGGGCCGCAAGGGGGCGGTGCGCGGGGCAGCAGGTGTGGCACGAGGGCTGCAGAGGGCGGCGCGTGAGCAAGCAGGGCGGCGCGCTTGTAGGGCAGGGCACCTAGTGGGGCAACGCTGGGGTGGGCCCTAAAAAAACGGTCCTGACGAAGGACCTGCTCTGAAACCATGTCAAACTAACGAACGAGAATGAATGCATCGAACAGAAGTTGGGTACAAGTACTAACCCTAATTGGGTTGTACCCCTTATGGGCTACCCCACTATAGCCTACACAATGGAAGCAATATGATATTATGATACACACGAGAGAGCGCTTTCCTTTTGGTGGGTTGCTAGTGTGGTTAACCACAGGCGATGAAAATGGCGACAGGTGGGCACGCTAGATACACCGGTTCTTCAGAGAATTTCCGACAATTGCGGGTGCCACGAGCAGTTCCGAGGAGGAGTCTTAACGGAGTCGGTGGTGAAGCCGACATATCCGTACCCAGGACGGGGTTGCAGCGGTTGAAGTTGATGCATGATGAAGTTGGAGAGGTTGAGAAGATTTAGACTAAATTAGATGTGGTACATAACGTCATGGTGCGCGCTAGTGCTGTTGGAATAACCTAAAAGGTTACAATAACATTCCCGAAGGCTCTCCACTCGCGCGTCACTCCATAACGAAGCTACGCGCCTATATCATTATCGCAATGGCTCATAAAGAGCATGCGGTGCGGAGATTTACTCTACAACGGTGGTGAGCTAGACTACGGGGGTTGGCACAAACTACTAGGAGTGATCTTAGCTTTGCCTAGTTCCTTAGTGCTTGCACAATCACGGGAGAAATCGGCAAGAGTTTCACTAGCAAAGTTGGAATTACTGAATTGTTCAAACATGCAATGACAAGAATGACTACATCCGGCACCTAGCAACTCTGCAGCTAGCCTGGTCGACTGACAGCACAGCATGGTCGACCGCCTGCCAACGTTGCGTAGATGAGCCGTGCCAGCATTGCAGAAAGGCGACGTGCCAACGCAGCAGGTCGACGGTGTGCCAACGCTGCAGTAAAGCGGCTGTCCAACGTTGCCCCGTAGTATATAGTAGTGCGCACGCTTGCAGATGGGCGCAGACGATTGGCCGGACTTGCACCGTTGTGCATTCGTCGGCTGTTGTCTGCGCCTGACGAGCCACATCGACTTCGGGATACCAACCCGAAGTCGCCTTTGCCATCGCGACCTCGACGACGTTGGCGTGCCTCCGCAGAACTCGCCGAGTTGGTTACCCGGTCGACCTGGGCGACCGCCAGGTGCCCCTGGTCGACCACAGCTCCCGTCGAGCTACCCCTGGTCGACGGACCCCCTCCGTCGATCAGGATTGTCAGCTGTTGTCGCTGAGCTCCCCTCGTCGACCGCTTCTCCCTTGTCAGGTCGACGGACTGCTCCGTCGACCTCCTGGTCGAACTGCTCCTCCTGGTCGACGGCACACCCGTCGCCCAGACCAGTCAGTTGCGGCTGTCGACTTCCCTGGTCGACAGCAACACCACAGTGGTCCCCTGCAGCTCAACGAAGCCTGTCGAGCAGCTCTTCCACTGTGAACGATCGGCTGCTACTTCCGTACATCCGACCAAGTCGTCGGCGTTGCCCAAGCGAGGGCGGGGCCAACACTCCATTCCTGTTAACATGCGGAAGGTCGAGGATCATCCGAAGGTCAACAGTCGAAGACATTTAACAGTCGTGACCCTTGACTGCTCAGTAACCGCACTTGTAAGTTACGCAATGCAACACGGTAACTGTCAAGAATAGAAATAGTCGTGGTGACTGTAGCAATGCAATTCAGTTAATAAGGTTATGTACCCCTCAGAGTACATGGCTAGCCAGGATTGCTATTTATATTTTTGTACCAATATCCTTTAATCATCTTGTTCTCTTTCAACTTATTACCGGTAAGAAGGTCATTACTAAGACTTCATTGTCTTCTCTTAGACTTGACAGAATTATCCTATCCACTAAGATCCTTCACTTATAACAACAAGTGCGGTGCAAGGACCAGGTTTCAAATCTTCCCGGCAGGCGGGAACGCTCAGTTCTGTCGTAGGCTGGGGTATTGTTCATTATGGGCAGTCTTAATGACAGCTCATACACGTGGCAATTGCTCTGGATCCGCCTTCATCCTTTATCGAACTTTGCCAAGGAGGTGTTTTCGGTTGGGAGAAATTGGTGCTGGTAACCCACGAATCTGTTCCGTGCGCTTTCACCAATCGTGTTTCATCTTCCCTGCCTGCCTACCTGGCATCCTTCCAACAACCAATCACGTACCTTGACTTCGTGCCGTCTTTTGACTGCACGGTGCACAACAGTGGAGTTGTGTGGTGTGACAACAGCGCACATATGTAGACCCCTAGGAACCGACCCGACTGAACCTACACCACCGCGCTGCGACTTCGTCCAAGCAGTGCACAGTTTCTCATAACTACAATTCTGGACTGTACAAAAAAAATGTATAGAGACAAAGGCTGACTATATAACGAGTGTGGTTTGTACTGTACACACATGTTGCGGCAGCCAGGGAGAATCCAACATTTGACCGCAACAGCAGGGCAACGAGATACTGTTGGAGATAAAAAAATCAGTGAGCGTGAAGTGAGAGAAGAGAACCCAGCAGCAGTGAGCAGAGAGAAACTGACCTGAAATCAGAAGACCATACACTGTGAGCAGCAAAGGTTTCAATTCCATTCCACCCCGACCTCCATCCTCTGCACAAGCAAGTCAGCAGGGTGCCGAGTATCACCGAAGCCATGGCGGCTCTCCAGTCAGCAGCCTTCTCCCTTGCCAGCCACAACGGGTGCTTGGTCCTCATTGCTTTGCTCCTCTCCGTCACATTTCACCGCGCCGAGCCTCACCCGTTTGTCAGAAAGGTACTACTACCCGACGTTTTCTGATTTTTAACCACTTAACTATCACTAACATCGCTGTTCGCGTTCAGCAAGTCGACGTCGCCTCCGTGGAGGATGCCTGGTCGGTCATTTTCGAACCAGTAACGCCACATTGCATTGCATTGCATCGGTGACATGTCCGGCCGACGTTCCAAGCATGCGTAAGGCGTCACGATCGACGGTCTTTTTTAGATCGCAGCATGCGTGCTGAAAAGCCGCGATCCGCGTGCCGCTGTTCTGACACCGCCGCGACGCGACAATGGCTTCAACGCACCAATGTCTCTCTATTTCCATCCACGCGTCAGCTTGTCTCCGTTTCGTTCCTTCGCAGATCAATCCATGACCGCGTGCAGCAACTTCAAATTTATAACCTAGATGTGGCACTAAAGCATGATATTCGTGACTTGCCATTCCGTACAGCCTCTTTACGTTCACTAGAAATGCAAGAAATCATGCGCTCGTTTTTTTTGTTTTGTTTTGTTTTTGTTTTTGTTTTTTTTGGCGGAAATTTGTTTGCAGGACCTCGCGGAAGTGATAGCGGCATTCGAGGCAAAGGCGGAGGCGGCTCGCGACGAGAGTAGCGCGAGCGACGGCGGCGACGACGCTGCACATCATCGCCATGGTCGCAAGCTCGCGCACGTCCTTACGGAATCATCGTTCGACCGGCATACTGGCTCGCTGCGTCTCTCCGCGCACGACCTGAGGCGCCTGCAGGAGCGCGCCGATGCGGCCGGCTTCTCTCAGGTGGTGATGGAATGAATGCGCTCTCTCACAAAGCACGCCCCGCTCGGAAGCTAGCTTTCCGCCGACATCACTCTCCGCGCCACCACTCCCCGCGCCACCACTCCCCGCGCCACCACTCCTCGCGCCACGCCACCACTCTCCGCACCAACACTCTCCGCACCATCTCTTCTCCGCACCCTCTGCGCCACAAGTCCCATCGTTGAAATCCTATATTCTCTCTCCCCCCCTCTCCCCCGCATTCTCCCTTGCGCCACCACCGTGTCTGTGCGGCCATCTCTCCGCGTGGCATGGCGCGCAGTCCCCCCGTCGGTCCGTGCCGCAGGCGGCGGCGGACAGCCTCATATTCCCGCTCTTCTCGCTCGACATCAAGGGGTACGCTCCGCGCGCAAGCTGCTCCGCACGTCCCATCCTCCGCGCATCGTGCTCCACATGCCTCCGCCTCCGCTCATGGTGCTCCGCGCGCCTCATCCTACGCGCACATTGCTCCGCGCTCAGTCATCCACGTCTGGTGCACGGCTCTCCGCTCGTCGCGTTGCGCGTCCTATCACTGCGTGTCTGCGTGTCTCCCGTCAAAACCTCTTCACCGTCCTGCCTTCCGTCCTCTCCTCAACCCTCCTCTCTTCATCCCCCTCCCTCTCTCTTCTCCTCTACCCTCCCCCCCTCCCCTTCTCCCTCCTCCATCCTCCGCCCTCCGCCCTCCGCCGGCCGTGCACCCGCCAGCCCGTACGTGATGACTTCGATTCTGGGGTCGCCGGCGAAGCAGTTCGTGGTGCTGGCGGATCTGAGCACTAGCGTCACGTGGGTCAGCTGCGACTGCATCTCCTGCCCCTCCGCTGCCAACTCCGTCGACGTCCTCGGCATCGTACGTTCCCTGCCTGCGCCCTTTCGCCACGCGTCATGCGCGCTGCACATTGCGCGTTGTGAGGGCCTGCCCGCACTCCACTCCTCTCACCAAGCATCCATGCACCCCTGCGCGCTGTGCGCTGTGCGCTGCCCACCCACTCCACATTGTACTCTGCGAGCTGCGTGCTACGCACGCATCTCCCACGTAGCGCGTTGCACGTTGTGTGATTGCCTTTAAGGCTTTACCTTTATCCATTGGTTGGGTGGGTGAGGAGGAGTAGGGGTCCTCACCTTTATCCGGCGATACATCAGCTGCAAATCCCCAACTATAACAGTATAACCACCTGTCTCCCTCCACCCACTCACCACCCTCCATGCACCTTTGCCCTGCACTACCTCTCTTCCACTTCCAATTCCGCACCCTCCCCCACCCTCCCTCACCCTCCCTCATCCTCCCTCACTCTCCCTGACAGCGAAGCCCATCGCGTGCAACAGCAGCGTGTGCGCGCAGAGCGCCACCTTCTGTATACCTGTCCACCACACCTCTCTCCACCCATCCCCACCCCTGGCAGAACCGCACGATGCTGAACACGAAGCGGTCACTGACAGCGAAGCCCATCGCGTGCAACAGCAGCGTGTGCGCGCAGAGCGCCACCTTCTCCTGCAACGCGCAGCAGCCGCTGCTCACAGACCGCCCCGACGTGTGCGAGTTCAACATCAGCATGGGCGCGGGGGACGTGTTCTCAGATGTGGTCACCGTGCCTCTTTTCAACCTGGACCTGCCCCCTGGCGAGCATGACAGCATCAACTCGTCCATCAACTTTGGGTAAGAGTTCTGCTGCTGCTGGTGGCGCTGCTGCTCCCGCTCTCTGCTCTCACGAGTTCAACATCAGCATGGGCGCGGGGGACATGTTCTCAGATGTGGTCACCGTGCCTCTTATCAACCTGGACCTGCCCCCTGGCGAGCATGACAGCATCAACTCGTCCATCAACTTTGGGTAAGAGTTCTGCTGCTGCTGGTGGCGCTGCTGCTCCCGCTCTCTGCTCTTACGAGTTCAACATCAGCATGGGCGCGGGGGACATGTTCTCAGATGTGGTCACCGTGCCTCTTATCAACCTGGACCTGCCGCCGGGGGAGCATGATAGCATCAACTCGTCCATCAACTTTGGGTAAGTGCAGCGCTGCTGTTTCACTCTCTACTCTCTCCCCAAACTCTTTCTGATGCTGATGCTACTGCATGGGGGAGGCCCCAACAAAATATGGCTTGATATACCAATCTCTCTCTCTTCTCCCTCCCTTCTCTCCCTGCTTACTCTCCCTCCCTATTCTTCCTCCCTCCTCCCTGCCCCCCCTACCCCACCACCCCATGGCATCGCAACGCACGGCAGGTGCAACCGCGTGGAGGACCCACCATGGAGAATTTTGGCGCGGACGGGGGGGCATTGGGGCTGGGCGTCAAATGTTTCGGTGCCTAAAGATGGAGCTTGATATACCCCCCTCCTCTCTCCCTTCCTCCTCCATCTCTCCCTTACCACCACCCCATGGCATCGCAACGCACGGCAGGTGCCTCCGCGTGGAGGACCCCGCCATGGAGAATTTCGGGCCGGACGGGTCGGTGGGGCTGGGAGCGGGGCCATTCTCATTCGCGTCTCAGCTGCACGCTACGAGCCTGCTCAACGCCAGCGCCGCCCCTCGCCCCAACGCCTTCTCCCTCTGCCTCGACGGCCCGCACCAGGAGGGGCTGCTCATTGTCGGCACCACGCCCGACCCCCCCTCGGGGCTCATCACCACGCCCTTCAAAGTTGCGGTTAACAGGTGCGTGCAGTGCAATGTGCGTGGTGGGGTGGCACGCGCTTCAAGGCTGATGATGGCGGGCGGGTGGGCGTGGCACCACCAGGAGAAGCTGCTCATTGTTGTGCCCGAGCCTGGGGTCCCCCCTCGGGACGGGACTCATCACCACCACCACGGCCTGCCCTTCAGGGTTGTGGTTAACAGGTGCGCGCGTGGCTGGCATGGGATTTGGTGCTGCTGATGGGATCTGATAACACTGTGGTATGCTATGGTGCCTGCTGTGGCATGGCGTGGTGTGGTTTCGTTTGGACTGACCTTATTTGGTACTGTTTGTAGCAGCGTTTGGTGATCTGTCTGTCATGCCTTCATTTATCCCGTCTCCCTGCTTCTTAGTGCCCACCTCACCACCACTCCTCCAAGCCTTGCCGTTTCCTGATTCTCACGCCCTCTTCTCATTCATTTCTCCTGCTTACTTTTTTCTTCTCTACCCATTCCTACCCTTCTCCCCTCTCCTTTTTCCCCTCTCCCCTCTCCCCTCTCCCCTCTCCCCACGCCCTGTGTTCCCCCTCCCTCCCCCACCAGTTCGCGCTATTTGCTGAACGTGACGGGGATCCGCCTGGGAGGGTCAGAGGTGAACGGCACGCAGGGCATAGGGGGCATGGTGAACTCGACCTTTGGGGGCTTCTCTCTGGACACAGCACGTGGCTTCATCTCGCTGCGCCGCGCCGCCTACGAGAGCCTCGTCACTGCCGTGCGTTGCTCGTGATCGGGAGGGCGGTGGGCGAGTGGCTGGGTGGACCGGTGGATGGGTGGATGAATGGACGGGCGGACGGGTGGACGGGCGATTGGGGGCGTGGGGGAGGAGGTGGGGCGGGATGGGCGTGGTGGGGTTGATACCAGGAATCCCCCTCTTTGGGTTCCTTTGGAGGCTTCTCTCCCGGGACACAGTGCGTGACTTCCTCTCGCTGCGCCGCTCTGCCTACGAGAGCCTCGTCACTGCCGTGCTTCCGTCGTTGTTTTGTGCCACGGCAGGAGCTTTGATGCTTCCATTGCAGGTGTAGCTGTTGGGAGAAGCAGAGGAGAGCAGAGAGTGGAGCCTGGGTTTGAGGCGCCTCAAAACTAGATTCCAGGTGTAGCTGCTGGGAGAAGCAGAGGAGAGCAGAGAGTGGAGCCTGGGAAGGGACTGGCCTCGTCTTCTGTTGTTGCGGTGATTCTGTGACGTGTCGTGGTGTTTGTTCTCGACTTATTGCTTCTTCCCAATGCTTTCCTTGTGCTCCTGTTGCATTGTGGAATGATATGACGCTATGTGGTATGATGCTACATGATATGATGCTATGTGGTATGATGGCTACATGATATGATGCCATGTGGTATGATGGCTACATGATATGATGCTATGTGGTATGATGCTACATGATATGACGCCATGTGGTATGATGGCTACATGATATGACGCCATGTGGTATGATGGCTACATGATATGACGCTATGTGGTATGATGCTACATGATATGACGCCATGTGGTATGATGGCTACATGATATGATGCCATGTGGTATGATGGCTACATGATATGATGCCATGTGGTATGATGGCTACATGATATGATGCCATGTGGTATGATGGCTACATGATATGATGCTATGTGGTATGATGCTACATGATATGACGCCATGTGGTATGATGCTTGCTTATGGCACATCATGTCACACCACGCCACGCCACGCCGTGCATGGCACCAGGTGTATGCACCAGATGCAGTGGTAGAGGCTGGTGTGGATGGCTACACTGGCTACTACTGTGGCGTGCTGGCTCCTGGGTGAGTCCCCCCCCACCCTCCCTCTTCCCTCCTCTCCCCTTCCCCCCCCACACCCTCCGGCTCTGCCCCGTCTCTCTCCCTCACTTCCCCTTTCCCAACCACCTTCTGTCCTGGCCCCTCTTCTTCCTTGCAACCCCACCTTCCCCAAGCACACTCGCCCTCGTGCTCTCTGCATCTCCTCTGTCACCACATGTGCACACCACACTTGAATCTACTCTTGACAAGAGAACACCCCAACCGTGACTCCAACCTCTTATCATCCCCACCACTACCGTCCTTACATGCATGGCAGTGCCATGTGTGCCCCATCCACTTCTTTTTGCTGGATCATCCAGTCACATGTGGTGTGGATTGCTGAGCCATGCCGGGCCGTGCTGTGCTGTGCTGTGCTGTGCTGTGCTGTGCCGCGCTGTGCTGTGCTGTGCCGTGCCGTGCTGTGCTGTGCTGTGCTGTGCTGTGCTGTGCTGTGCTGTGCTGTGCTGTGCTGTGCTGTGCTGTGCTGTGCTGTGCTGTGCTGTGCTGTGCTGTGCTGTGCCATGCTGTGTTGTCGCTCAGTCTGCTCTGCACCGCAATGCTTCCTCTCTCCTCACCCCTGGCCTGCCTGCCTGCCTGTCCCGCACATCCTAACTAACCACCCACCCACCCGCCCACCACCACCACCACCAGTGCGAGCCCGGATGTGGTCTTCCCGCCCATCTCCTTTGACCTCCCAGAGGGCTCTCTGTCAGTCACCTGGCCCAAGTACATGTACTCTGTTGTGAGTTCTCCTCTCCCTCACAACTGTGTTGCTCCTTTTGAGACATCTCAACACTCGTTTTCAGCCACGTGGCCCAACAACATGTACTCTGTCGTGAGTATTTTTTAGACTTCTCAAAACTCCCGACTTTTGAGCGCCTCAAGTGTCCTACCAGAGGGTTCTTTGTCAGTCACTTGGCCAAACTACATGTTTTCCGTAGTGAGAGATCTGACCTCAGAAGCGTCTTTTCTCTTTCACACACAGCCGCACAGCCGCTGACTACTGGCCCCTCTCTGTCTCCTCCCCAGTTTTCTTTACATTTGAAACCTCTGCAATCTATTTTTAATCGTAAGGACAGATCACATAGGAACCATGCTCCCAGCCCACATCCTCCTTCTCCCCTTCTTCACCCACCCATGCACCCATCCATCCACTAACCCCTCCCACCAACCCACCCACACACTGACGCACCCCGCATGCCTGTGTGCTTGTGCACCCACCCAGGCCAACGAGACCCACGAGATTCTCTGCCTGCTGGCGGAATCACACCCGGACTGGGCCCCACGCAATGTCTACATGGGCAGTGAGTGCTCCCTCTTGCAAGCACACACACACTCTTTGCTGCTGCTACTAGCGTCGGCCTCCTCTCCCCGCCACTCAGGTCGCTCATTGCCTTGGGCCCATTTTTTCTCTTGTGCTATGTGCACAGCCCGAGCACATAGCTCAGAAGCCTGTGCTCGTTGCATGCAACACATGCCCTCGCTACACCAAGCTCTAAACTCAAACCCCCCCTCCCCCATCTCCTCCCTCCCCTCCGTATCCCCCCTTCTCCACCCCCTCTTCCTTTTCCACACCTCTTTGTGACCTGGTTCACTCTGTCTTTCTGTTGCCTCCCCTTTGCCCTTCCCTCTTCCATTCCACCACCACCACCACCACCACCACCACCACCACCACCACCACCACCACCACCACCACCACCACCACCACCACCACCACCACCACCACCACCACCACCACCACCACCACCACCACCACCACCACCACCACCACCACCACCACCACCACCACCACCACCACCACCACCACCACCACCACCACCACCACCACCACCACCACCACCACCACCACCACCACCACCACCACCACCACCACCCCCTCCCCATGGAATGTGGTGGCACATCAGCGCCGTGGTTGCTGGACACGTACTGGAAGTTTGACCTCGAGAACAGCACCATTTCCTTCACACCCTACAACTGTAAGCGCCCTTGCAATGCCAGCACTTTTCCACTGTCAGCACCCTTGGGATCGCCCCATGTACTGCCTGAGCAACGCACCTGTTCATTCCAACAATCTTCCCCACCCTCCCCCCTCTCTCTGTTGCATACCATATCGCTCCTAAACCTACTCACTTTCCCATTCACCTTCATCCTTCCCCGTCCCCCTGTCTTCCCGTTCCTCCACTGCCACAGGCTCGACATTTGAGGCCATTCAGGCCGCTCCCTCCCCTTCCTCCGCGCCCGCAGCTCCCGCCCCCACCACCCTCCGCCCCTCGTCCCCCAACCCGCCTCTTCCCACTGCCACTCCCACTGGCACTTCCCCCCCGTCCACTGCACCACCATCTGCTTCCTCGCCCCCCCCTCCCCCGAAGCCTGCTTCACGCGTGGCCACTGCACTCGTGGTGGCTCCTATGCTGTCTCTTCTTCTGGCAGTGCTCTTGCTCTAGTTAGCTAGCCACTATCTGTTTCCTCATGTCCTCTACCAGCCGTGTGCCCTCTCGATCAAGCCTGTGGTGCTTTTCAGAATTCTCATTTGATCATCCTCTGTTGTGATCTCCCAATGTTGCTTTGCCTCTTTTGCTGGCTCTTGCCATAGCTGTTTTTCTGTCTGGGCCTTCTCCCAACACCCATCTGACCTGAGTTCTTTTGGAGGCTTGGTGTAGGCTGCTGTTCAGAGGTTATTGAGAATATGAGTGTACCAATGGAGCTAGTAACTGCAGATGAAAGCACTCTTTTGGCGTCCATGTATCAGTACCACAGAATCGAATTTGACGAGTAAATCCTAGAGTTACAACATGATTGTTAGTGCCACTGTGCTGTTGGTGTTTTGGTTCATGTCGTTCAATTTTGTGCCGATTGGTAGTACACTTCTCAGGGAGTACAACCAAAAGCGGGAAAATCTCCGACAGAGGCTGGTCTGGGCAGCACCGTACCGCGGGCCTGTTCGCCCGATCACTGCTGTCTCCCCCCAAGCGAGCAATCCCCCCTCACCATCGCCACTAGCACAGGCGCCGCGCATGCGACAATGTTTTCTTCGCCACTGGGCTGGGCAGAGGGACAGAACATCACGCGAATCATGCTGCGAGAGACCCGCCCGCAAACCTTCCTCCAGGGCAGGCCGCGTCGCATGTTGCGAATTGATTGCGGCGCGAATTCAGAACCAACGGCAACAAAAAGGGAAGTTACAGTACCCGCTCACCAAGCCCTCATTTCATCCCCCTCTCCTCCTCGGTCCCCTCCCCACCGTGGGATTTGGGATTTCAAAATTTCGCTGACGGCTCAAGTTGGCCGGTTGGTTGCTTTGTACAGGGCTCTGTGTGTGTCTCTTCGCTCGCTCGTCTGATCCTCAAATTTTGATTGTCTCCCATCACATAACGCCTCTCGCAACTCGCTGCGTTGCCTTGCTTCTCCGTCTTTGCGCCAAAACTGGTCACACTCATTCAGCAGAAATAAACAAAACGCAAGGACATCGAAGCCACTCGTGGGCCACAGTTGGGCTTCTGAGGACGTTCAGGGAACCTAGAGTGTTCTGCTCCAACAGGCGTTTTCGTTCTTCATTTAGATTCGTGGCTTGGTTAAATCACACAGGTCGGTCGAGCTCCGAAACCGTGTCAATTTTTCACGCTTGTGCGACTATATAGTTGTGCTGAAGTTGCAGAGAGAAGCAATTTTCTCACCCCTCAGATTTACTTAATTACTCGTTCAATCAGGCAGCAGAAAGGTAGCTTTCGTGCCTAGCAATCAAAACCAGTTACGCTCGCCACACCCGTGTTTAAGTCTCAGAGAACGAGGCCCCTGCTACTCCGCTAAACACTCAACTTCTCTTTTTCAGCAGCCGTTACCCTGGCGCTTCAATCACCAGTCATGGCGAATGGCAGACCCCAGCTTTCACCATCTCGTGAAAGGCCATTCCGGATGAGAAAGTGTCTTCTACACCTACTAATGGCTGTCGCTGCGCTCCTTATCAGCCTCGTAGGCACAGCTGACGCTCACGCGAGATTTCTCAAGGTTCGTCACTCGCCCCGCCAGTGCACTCGTTCCCCCTCTGTTAAGTCACTCCGTATGTAGCTCGAGCCGATCTCAGCATGGCTACGATGTGGGTGCGCGCAAACAGACGGTGCCGGTAGGAACGTCTAAACAGGCAACGTTTGCCAGTGCCCGCTCCCGCTCCACTGCTTGTCACGCTGCCAGCTTCACTCTTGTGCCCGACACACAGGCAGGCTTCTGGCATGCACTCCTAAGATATGCGTCTCGCGGAAGCTGCATGTAGCCTTCCTGCTAGAAACAACATTCACACGGCGTAATCTAGTTGCTTAACGCTTGACTTTCACATACATCCCCACCCCTGGCTTCCACTAGCTTCGCGTATCAAATTCTTTCCATAACGTCGTCGTCATAGCTTTTCAGAAGATATCCTCACGACGGCTGGGCAGATCTCGATAGTGCGGGTGTCGTATCCCATAACACGGCACAGCGGTTACTGCGTTATTACCGTATGCGCTCGAGCGGCCACAGACCACTGCCATTTGTCTCGGATCCAAGACCCACGGTCCTTAACCCCGTTCACCACTCGCGGCTCTCGCCGCTTATCAACTCTAATCGACGCCTACTCTCTACTCTTCTCTCTATTCTGTGCGCTCCAATCGCAGGATGCATCTCGTCTGGACAGCAGCCGCAGGGAGCTGCGGCGGCTGAGCGAGTTGGAGCGGTTGCAGATGGCGAGGGGGCGCAGTCTCGAGCAGCACTGGAGCCTTGCACGCACCGGAGGCAGCGTCGCCGCTGCTGTGGCTACTGCTGATGCTTCCTCGTCGCCCAGCGAGCTGTCGCATCAGGTAGGGCTCGCACAGAAGAGGCAGAGGAGGAGGAAGAGGAGGAAGAAGACGAGAGGAGGAAAATGAGCAGAGTGCGAAACTCTGAAATAAAAGTGTATAATTCTCTCAGCCTGTTTTGTGTGGTTCTTCAAGTTCTCGGCCCACAGCACCCGTCATTCCTGTTCGGCTTCGCATCGTGCAGAGCCCTCGATTTCTCGCGTTGTCTCGTGTGCTTTCCCGGACCGCAAAACATCTCAAGAACGCCCTAGCTCTCCGGCTCTTTGCTTTTTGAGACGTCACCAATGCTGGTCTCTTCTCTGTTCTGATTCCTTCCTCGTCCCTGTCCTCGCCTCGCCCAATTCTGCTCTCTCCGCACCCTTCAGGGCCGACTGTTGGCAGAGGCGACAGCTGGAGGAACAGCAGTCCTGCGCCTATCCTCGCCCTACGTCTATGGGTGAGCTCACCATTGCCAGCGCGCTCACCACTTCTCCACACTCCCCTGTTCCAAACACCTCCCCTGCTCTTCTCTTTCCCATACTCCCGACGCTTCCAGCAATCCCCGCTCCGCACCGCCCGTGCGCTCTCCTCCCGCTCCATCGCTGAACTCCCCACCCCATTGTTCCCGCTCCCATCTCCTTCACCTTTCCCTCGTTCCCCCTGCCCCCGCCTCCCGTTCCGCCCTCCCGGCTCCCCCGTCACCCTTTCCCCCGTCCCCCGTCCTCATTTTCCCTTTCCCCCGTTTCCCGTTCCCCCGTTTCCCGTTCCCCCGTCCCCGGTCCCCCAGGCGCTTCTACACGACGCTGACGCTGGGGACGCCGGCGCGCGAGGCGTACGTGGTGCTGGACACCGTGTCGAGCCTCTCGTGGCTCTACTGCGACTGCATCCACTGCCCCTCCTCGCCGCCCCTCACCGACGTCAGTGCGCCGCGCCCTCCCCACCTCCCCTCCTACTTCCCTCCCCTTTTCATTCCTCCGTCCTCTCCTCGCCTCCCTCCGCGGCTCCGCGGTCCTCTTTCCGCCTCCCTTGTTCTCGCCCACTTTTTGGGTCATGCAGCCTCCATTCCCCATCCCCCATGTCCGATCCTCAATGCGCTTTACTTATTCTCCATTCTCCACAGTTCCCCCTCCTTCCCTTCCGCCAAACATCCCCTCCCGTACCCTCCCCGCCACCCTCCCGCGCAACCACCAGCCGACGAAGCCGCGCACGTTCTTCAACTCGTCCGCATCCTCGACCGCATCCGCGCTCGCGTGCAACAGCGGCGCGTGCGCGGCGTTCCCGATGGCGGCGTGCGGCGCGCTGGAGACGTACTCGCAGGCGGGCGTGTGCGAGTACTACACGCCCGACTCGGCGGGCGACGTGCTCACGGACGCGCTGCGCGTCACGAGCGCGGACAGAGTCGTCTCCGCGCCCACCGTCGCCTTCGGGTGAGCGAGTCGTGTCCGCGCCCACCGTCGCGTTCGGGTGAGACAACAGTGTGTGACTGTGTATGTGCGTGCAAGCGTGCGTGTCTGTGTGTGAGGTGTCCAAGAGTTGGTAAGTTACGAAGGTTGCTAGGGGCAAGAAACGTGACTGGCTCGCGAACCAGGATGTTGTCGAAATCGGTGGTTGTGGGTCGTTAAGCATGAAAACCTCGCGAGTGTAACCAGATCTGGAATGCAACGTCAAAATTCGTTCGCAAATAGTTTCGGATGGGCGCGAAAATTGCTTACGAAATCGTCACTGCTATCGTTTGACAATTTCGCGTGGCGAAAAAATTCCCGAAGGTTTTCGAAGTAAGGAAGTTTGAGTCAGTATCTACTGGGTCACACCCAACCTAAGTTGGGAAGTTTGAGGCAGTTTTGGCCTGTTTGGGACTCCGGTTTTAAGATTTTAAGACTTCTCGCAAGTCGGAGTTCGAAAATATTTTTTCCTCATCCCGTCCCACGCAGCCCCCTGTTTTCTCTCCCCCCCCACCCTTCCCCCTCCCCCCCCAACCGCCAGGTGCGCGCGGGTGGACGCGCAAGGGGGTAGCGGGATCTTTGCGGAGGTGGACGGCGCACTGGGGCTGGGCACGCAGCCGTACTCGCTGCTCGGGCAGCTCTCCGCCTCCGCCAACGGCACTGCTTCCGCCGCCGCCTCCGCCACCGCTTCCGCCGCTGCCGCTGTAGCTGCCGGTGGTGGTGCTGGTGCTGCTGCGGCGCCTGCGGGGCCGGCGGCGGCGGTGGCGGCGGTGTGGTCGCTGTGCTACGACAGCATGGCGAACTCGGGCGTGCTGGTGCTGGGGAGCATGACTCCGCCCGCTAATATGGTTACCACGCGCTTCGACACCGCTGCGGACGAGTGAGTCGGAGTGTGTGTGTGGATTGCGTGCGGCGTGGATTGGATTGGCGTGCGTGCGGCGTGGTGGTGCATGCACTCCAGCATAGCCCCACGATGTCTCCAAGGGATTTCCAGGCAACGGCAATCCACGGGCGTGCCCAGCCCACGGGACAAAACGCCACTGCTTGAGACAATCTGCACTCCCCCTCCCCCTCCCCCTCCTTTCAACCACGCCACACCCATCCCACCATCCCCCGTCCTCCCAATCCGCCACCCTCTTCCCCATCCCCCATGCGCTCTCCATCGCCATCCGCGCAGCTCGAGCTACTACCTGCCGGTGTGGCGCATGCGCGTGGGAAATATTGAGGTGCCGGGCAGCAAGTTGTTCAGCCGCACCCATTCTCTTCCCCCGTCCCCATCCGCCATTTCACTATTCCCATCCGCGCAGTTCAAGCTACTACCTGCCGGTGTGGCGCATGCGCGTGGGGAGCATCGAGGTGCCAGGCAGCAAGTCGCTCAGCCGCAGAACCGTCGGCGCTGCGGGCGCGGAGGGCGCAGGGGGCGGAGGGGCGACGCGCGGAGGCGTGGTGGTGGACTCGGATATCACGTACACTGCGCTGCGGGGGGATGTGTTCCTGCGCGTGGTGAAGCTGGTAGGCGGGGGAGGGAAAGGGAGGGGGAGGGGGAAGAGGAGGGGGCGAAGGGGAAAGGAGGGAGGGAGGGAGGGAGGGAGATTTGCGAGGGGGAGGGATTAGGAGAGAGGTATGGGGAGGGAGAAATTGGGGGGTGTGGGAGAAGTGGGGTGCAGTGGGCAGCGATGTGAGCTGCTCTATATTCCACTGCTGCTACCACCAGTCGCTTGGTTGCTGCTTTGTGTCCCGCCCCAACCACGTCATCACCAGCTTATCCCTTTGTCGTCTTCCCCTTACTTTCGTTGCGCTTTCCACGTCGCCTTTACCCTCGTGTGCTTGTCATTCCCCCTGGGTGTTACGTGCATGGGTGCGTGTGTGTTGGTGCATGCGTGTTGCTGTGTGCGTGCGTGTGTGCGTGCGTGTGTGTGTGCGTGTGTGTGTGCGTGTGTGTGTGTGCGTGTGTGTGTGTGTGCGTGTGTGCGTGTGTGTGTGCGTGTGTGCGTGTGTGCGTGTGTGCGTGCGTGTGTGTGTGCGTGTGTGTGTGCGTGTGTGTGTGCGTGTGTGCGTGCATGCGTGCGTGCGTGTGTGTGTGCGTGTGTGCGTGCGTGTGTGCGTGCGTGTGTGCGTGCGTGTGTGCGTGCGTGTGTGCGTGTGTGTGTGTGTGCGTGTGTGTGTGCGTGTGTGTGTGTGCGTGTGTGTGTGTGTGCGTGTGTACGTGTGTGTGTGCGTGTGTGCGTGTGTGCGTGCGTGTGTGTGTGCGTGTGTGTGTGCGTGTGTGTGTGCGTGTGTGCGTGCGTGCGTGCGTGCGTGTGTGTGTGCGTGTGTGCGTGCGTGTGTGCGTGCGTGTGTGCGTGCGTGTGTGCGTGCGTGTGTGCGTGCGTGTGTGCGTGCGTGTGTGTGTGTGCGTGTGTGCGTGGGAGCAGGTGTTTGCTGACCCAAGGCTCGTGAGGCAGGACGCGGGAGGCGAAGTGTGTGTGTTCGTCAAGGCCAGGTGTGCTGAAATGCCATGGCATGTATCACGGGGAAGGATGGAGATGGGAGCGGATGGGAGGGAGGAATAGAAACAGAGCTGGGCATGATCATGATGAAAAGGAGGATCTTTCAGATATGCCTGTGCTGTGTGTCTGCTCTGCTCGTGTTTCTGCGTTCTCTCCCCTCGTCACGCCATGTCTTAGTCCTTTTTTAAACTCCATATCTGCTCTTGTGACCACCCTACTGCATCTCCCCGACCCCTCGGATTCCCTTGTGTGCTCACGCGCTTGTGCTCACAACAACACATGCACGCTCACTCACATACGCACACCTCCTGCTCCCCCGTGCAACTCTGCTCTCCCCGCTATTCCAGTGACACCAATGTGGTGTCGTTTCCAACCATCTTCTTTGACTTCAAGGAGGGCTCCTACGAGGTCACCTTCAACAACTACCTCATGATGAATGTACGCCCGCTCCTCCCCCCCCCTTTCTCCCACTCACACACACACCCCTCTTTCACTGGCACACCAATTGCTCCCCCCACACGCACCCTTGCCTTCATCATGATCTACTCCCCTCCACGTGCATCAATTCTTCCACACACACACCACTCCCCCCACACGCGCAACTCTCATCCACACCAACTGCTCTTCTTTCACCAGCGCACTCTCATCTCTCTTGCAGCGGAGATCTCAGCCCTTGCAGCCTTGTCATTCATTCCCGAATCCCAAGAGTTCCCTCTCGTTCCCTCTCCTTCCGCCCCACCCACTCCATGCATCAGGACGCAAGTGAAGCAGGGGCCACGCTGTGCCTGACAGCATATGCGCTCCCGAACAACCGAGTGCATGACGCCCACATTGGCAGTGAGTGCCAACGCGCCCTCTACTCCTCTCCTCTTCTCTCTTTTCCTCTCGTCTTCATTCTTTTCTCCTCTCCTCTTCTCACCTCTCCTTTCCTCTTGTCTTCACTCCGTTCCTTCCTCTCTCTTTCCTCGCTCCACAGTTGTGTTGCACCCACCTCGCGCACGCTCGCGTGCCCGCGCGCACAAACACACACGTGCACGCGCGCGCGCACACACACACACATCCACCCCCTCCTGCTCGCCACCCCCTGCTGGTTGCCCCGCTCGCCTGCGTGCAGCTCTGTGGCTGCGGGATCAGTTCATTCAGTTCAACCTGCCCAACAAAACCATGAGCTTCGTGCCCCTCAACTGTAAGCCATCCATCCATCAGGCCCCTCCCTTCGTCGCCTCACCTACCTCTCATCCCTCATCGGATTTCATCTGACCTCATCTGGCCACATCTGGCCTCATCTGGCCTCATCTGGCCTCAGTTCTGCCTATCGTCCTCCAGGCACATGCAGATAGCAAGTCCTTGTGTTGCGGCGTCCTTGTTTATGTCTTCCGGGTTTCAAAAATGGTTGCAGTTCTGTGATCCAATCGTATCACAAACGTATCACAAACGTATCGCCCTTGCTTTCACCCAACCCTCTCAAACTCACTCACTCCTGTCACAGGCACGTCAGGCGAGCCTGTGGAAGCAGCACCACAGCCACCTCCCACCCCGAGCAAACCTAGCACCCCAACCACCACCAACGCCAGCGCCCCTAAACCAGCACCAACATCAAAACCAGCACCAGCAAGAACACCAGCCACTCCCTCAGCCAAGCACCCAACCCCTGCCCCTCCCTCCTCTCGAGCCCCTGCCCCTGCCTCTTCCTCGCCCCCGTCCTCCTCCCCCTCCTCTGCCCCATCCCCTGCCCGGAACCCCCTGAGTGATCCCAAGAAGAAGAGCAGTGCGCATGCAAGCAAGCCTGCTCCCAGTGCACATGCCCACCTTGCTCCTGCTTCAGCTGCTTCCCCCAGCCCTGCCGCTTCTGGCAAGGGAGCAGGGAAGTCAAAGGCCCCAGCTGCTGAAGCACCAAGTGAAGCGCCTAGTGGGGTGCCCTATAAAGGGGATGGGGAGTGGGGTGTTGCAGGGGGAGTGGGGGTGGGGGAGGGTCACGAGGTGCGGGGAGTGGAAGGGGTTAGCAGCGGAGGGGAGAAGGTGGCTCCGGGGAATGCAAGTGCGCTCAGCCCTCCTCTGCCTGTCAGCCATAAGAAGACCGCTGAGAGCTGGAACTGTTTTTATTTGGTTTTTTATAAGCATGGGGCTATTCAAACCGAGCAGGGGGGTCCTTTGGGATGTTTCCGTAGAGTGCAAGAGGGATGTAACTGTGATTTCTGCACCTAACCTCTCTCTAACCCCCTCCATTTTCCCGTGCCTCTCTCTCTCTCTCTCTCTCTCTCTCTCACTCTCTCTCTCTCTCTCTCTCTCTCTCTCTCTCTCTCACTCTCTCTCTCTCTCTCTCTCTCTCTCTCTCTCTCTCTCTCTCTCTCTCTCTCTCTCTCTCTCTCTCTCTCTCTCTCTCTCCTGTCCTGCGCTGCTCCCCCCTGCAGCTTCCTCCTCCAACCGGCCTCCTTCCCTGGGATCCGTGGCCCTTTCAGCGCTTCTCTCAGTAACTGCCGTGCTCTTCCTAGCACCACCATTGCATCACCGCCACCGCCCATAGATGTTGGAGTGCCAGGCGTGCCCTGTTTGGGGGTGTTGCAGAGCTCTCTCAAGGGTGCACAACCGGCCAGCGTGACAAGGACTGCGTTATCTGCTCTACGTGATTGTATTGCGCTCCATTACGCGAGCGCATCCTGTAGCCTGTTTCGTGCACTCTGGCTAACTGGCCAGCATCATTGGCTGGCGTATAGGAGTTGTGAATTATGGAGGCATGCGCACTACACCATGCTCTGTGACTTACGGTACGTAGCTCCTCCAGGTGGTGTTATAGTCACAATAGGCTTGAATGTGCCTAAAAACGAAAGATAGAGAGCACAGACGGATTTCTGCACAGCGGCTTCAAACGTTGATAGCGTTCTGCTCACAGCTGCAAATGACTTGATTCAAATTGGATCTGGAGCGTCTTCACGTCGTCTACAATTAGCAATTTAGATTGCACGATTTGATAAAGAATTGACGACACAGCGTCGGTTTGAACGAACGGTACTATGGCAGCCACTATAGTCTTAGAACACAAGATAGGAAGAGTTACGAGTTGGGAATGACTCCCAGCTCCTACAAACCCCAAGAGCCGAGGTACAGTGATGTGGAACAGTGCCACACTGTCCCCAACCACGAAGGGTCTCGAAACTACCCTCCACAAGGGCCTACACCAAGAGAAATGTTACACTACACAAAGTAATGCAACTATTCTCGCTATCTTAAAGTTTACCGTTTTGGAGAGCTTCGAAATCACTTGATTCTTGAAACCAAGGCTCTGGTTCTTCAAGGTAAATTCTTCCTTGAGTTCTTGGAAGTCTGCTGCGCACACCTGCGACACGCCGAACGTTCCACACACGACAAAATAGAAAACCGCACACGACACGCAAACAACGACGTCGCACGCAACTAGCGATAACTCGCTATTGACTCGACACACACATTCAAAATCATGCCTCATCATTCACACACTATTGTAAGCATGAAATATATATTATTTCATGCCCTCATACCATTCCATGCACACACGCATGCACGCACACGGACAACAAGCCGTATGCAAACCGTAGGGTTGCACCAACAGGTGGAGATTGCATGCACCTTCTGCAGTATATCCAAGAGAACATTTTCTCTGCCATATTCTGTTGTGCAGCAAGACCTTGGTCTGCGCTTTCATCCAAATGCATCTCGCAGGAAATGAGGTTCACAAGAGCTGGCGTGGTTGATCTTCTTACTGTACATCATCCCACTTGTCTTACTCCGTATAACATTCAAGCAGAGTGCGTAAATACATATCTAGGATATGAAAGATACGTGTTACGAGTGCAATTGAGTGAGCGAGCGAGAATTGCACGATCGAAGCAAAACAGTACAATGACCGAAGGCAAGAGCGAAGATACATAGCGAAACTACAGTGTCCGAATCACAGTGCAGGAATGAATGAACTATGATTGAGTTTGTTAGAATCTAGAACGAGAATTAATGCATTTAACAGAAGTTTGGTACTGTAAGGAAAAACCTTTTTCCTTACTTCGCGTCCCTGCTCAGCGCGTACACCACTGTTCCCGCCAACAGCATCCCACAATAATCCGTTACCACTCGCGACATTCGCCTCTACCCCATTCCCGCCACTGTTAACGATGCGACCCAACCTCACAGTTCGGTTGGTAACCCGCGCTCCGGACCTCCGCCTCGACAGTTCCCAACCTCGGCACCAGGCCCGTCGCGCACCCCATTGACCACACGTTACCGTTACCACTGTAGCTTCGCTATATATTCTTCGCTCAATCCTTCGCTCATTGTATTCTTGTCTCGATAGTGCAATCCTCGCTCGCTCACTCAATTGCACTCGTAACACTTGGTATCAGAGCCTACGATCTTCTCTCGGACCGCACCCACACCTTCGCTTCCCCACTATCTCGATGTTTTGGGGGGGTAGACGTCTCTCAGTGACCAAGCATCGCCGCTCGTAGTGCTCTCTCGTGAGCACGCACGGCCACGACAGAGGCTCTCGCTGAGCTTGCCCGACACCCCCGCCATGGCCGAAATCAATATCGCGACACTGACGCAGGAGCAGCTCGACCGTCTCGTACGCCAACTTGAAGATTCGGCGCTCGAAATCGCCACACTCACGGCAGAACGCGACTCCGCTCGCCAACAATCGACAGTGAATACACCAGCACCAACAAATGCATCTGCACAATCCGAGGAGCCGATCATCATCTCCTCAGGCACATCGACACCGAACAACAGCGTGGGACAGCGCTCTGGCGTAGCCAGTGAGGGCGCCGCTCACTCAATGCCTGGCATGGAGAGAAACAGGGTCGCACCAAGCCCACGGGAGCCCCGCGAAGCCCCTCGGCACGTGGAATTCGCAGCGACAAGTGGAGAGTATGCCATCATGGCACCAATGCCACTCAAGCTGCAGCGTCCGCCCTGATTCAACCCGAGCCAACGTGGGGGTCCGACGGTTCAGTCGTGGGTCTTCACGATGAACGTGTTCTTTGACACGAACTACGTCGAGTCGGACGCAGCGAAGATTCGCTATGCGGTCTCGCTGCTGAGGGGCCCTGCCATGGACTGGTGGCGAGTCATCGTGACGTCGCCTCGCGCCTACGAGCCACCGTCGCAAGAAGACGGGCCCACGGGCACAGCCGTCACCTGGAGTTCATTCTGCGAGACAGCCCAGTACAGCACGTGGGATGCGTGGTGCGCAGGGCTTCGGGCGCGTTTCGAGCCGAATGCGGCTTCGATTTCGGCGCGTCAGAAATTGCGCACTTGGCGGCAGCTCGGATCGGTTCAAGACTACACGAGTGGTTTTCTCGCATTATGCGAGCAAGTCGGCTATATGCACGAAGCGGAGCGGGTGGACCGTTACGTCGGAGGACTAAAGCCAGACATCTCGCACGAAATTATGCTACGCGGGCTCTCGAATTTCAACGAGATCATTGCGCTCGCCGAGAAAATCGACATCCTACGGCGACCGAGACCGGGGTCTTACTACGGACAACGTCCTCGGGGATCGATCGAGCACGCCACCGTACACGCCGTTGCGACAAATGCAGCTGCCGCACCGTTTAAAGGGCGCTGCTTTGCTTGCAACAGGCCGGGCCATCGCAAGAGTGAATGCCCAGAGGAGCTGAGGCGCCGCGGAACAGAGCAGGGGCGAGAGTCTCAGAGGCCGGGAAACGCCAGCAGTCAGTAGAAGTTGGGCCAACTACTGACGAGACTGCATGCTCGCCCAACTTCACCGACCCTCACCGAGTCACAGTACCGATTCACGCTATCGATTGGGCTCGGACGAATAAGGAGGGTACAGCGACGGATTGCCCAGTACTGATCCACGGAAAAATACAGGGAGCAGCAGTGAAGATCTTTATAGACGGAGGCGCAAGTCACAGCTTAGTTAAGACCGCGACTGCAAGGAAGCTGCAACTAACACTTAGCCGGTGTTTACCGGAGATAGATGCACGCTTAGTTGACGGAACGCCGCTGGCCATACGGGAAAAAGTAGAGAGAGTGAAATTCCGCTGTGGGGGAAACTTCGGATTTACACAGGAAATGCTCACGACAACATTGGATGGGCACGAGATTTTACTAGGACGTGATTGGCTGCGATGGTACAACCCGCGAATCGATTGGACGACGGGTAGCTGCACTGTGCGAAGTAGCGGTAACTGGGTCGAACTACCTCGCTGGCAGTCGCCTGAGTCTTCAACGGTCCACGTCAACGCCATCACGATGAAACGGGCTGTCGTCTCTGGAGCTGACGTGTATGCGGTGGATATCGCAATAGTGGACGACGCAGAGCAACCGAGCGATTTCCAGAAACTACTAGCCGCAGTACCACCCGAACTACAGGAACTGTTGAAACAGTTCCCGGAGATTTTTCTCGACGACTTACCGGAGGGACAGCCACCTCAGCGGGCGCACGATCACCAAATAGAATTAGAACCCGGGGCACAGCAAACCGTACAGCGACAGTTGAGACTGACACAGCCCGAGCTCGACGAGCGAAGGAAGCAGTTAGACTACTTGTTAGAGAAAAAAAGCATCCGACCGAGCTCGTCGCCATTCACTGCACCGATCCTGTTCACGCCGAAAAAGGACGGGGGATTTCGCATGTGCATCGACTATCGAGCACTGAACAGGGTTACAGTCAAATCATGATACCTCATCCCCCGCGCCGACGAACTAATAGATCAACTGCGAACAGCAAGGGTCTTTTCGAAAATCGACTTACGAGGGGGCTACCATCAGATTCGGGTCGAGCCATTGGACTGCGCCAAAACAACATTTAGGACTAGGTACGGGTCATTCGAGTACACAGTGTTAGAATACGGAACGGAATGAATGAACTAGGAAGCAGGTGGGTACAAGTAGGAAACCTAAAAGTGTTGTACCCTATAAGAACTACCCCACTACAGCCGAAACATACTAGAGCATATATAAGTTTGACACACCCCCATAGGCAAAGTGGGGGAGAACAAGAGGTCACAAGACCAATCAAGAAGGCAAAGCAAGCTGAGGGTGGATCACAAAGTCACCACGCAGTCTGAGCACAAGCAAATGGCCACAAGGCCAGTTCACATGCAGAGTTATATAAAGGAAAACAAACCTACAGTGAACACAACCTAGCAAGTGTAAGCATGCAGGTATAAGTATATAGAGTACAGTACAAGCAGAGTCAAGAAGTCAGCAAGTGAGGCACAGTAGGTACAAGGCCTAGAACAGTACAGAAACGCTGATGATCACAAGGCTGAAGTGCCTTGGTGAAAACATCAGCAGTGTTGGCCTGTGAGGCCACGTAAGCAAGACGAAGCTGGCCACGCTGCTGCAACTCTCGAGCGAGGAAGTAGCGTAGAGCAATGTGCTTCGTTCTGTGCTCCAGTCTGTGCTCCTGACACAAGGCCAGCATGGCCTTGTTGTCGACGTACAGAACTGGAGGAGAAAGAGGCGCCTCTCCCAAGTCGGTCAGCAGGTAGGTGAGCCAGCGTAGCTCCTGTGCAGCCATGGCCCCAG